TCTCTCTCTCTCTCTCTCTCTCTCTCTCTCTCTCTCTCTCTCTCTCTCTCTCTCTCTCTCTCTCTCTCTCCCCCTGCAGCAATCCGTCAACTGTACACATATTAGCTCCTCTTCCTCCTCTTGCAGCAATCCGTGAACTTGCAGCGATCCGTCAACTGTACACATATTAGCTGGTGTGTTTGCCTCTTATCTCCTCCTCCTCCTCTTGCAGCAATCCGTCAGCTGTACGCATATTAGCTGTTTGTGGTCTCCCAGACCGAGGCAGGTGGAAGTAGTAAGGCGAGGATGAGCTATGGAGTGAGGCAGGAAGGGAAGGAGAAGTAATGGATGTGTTTCTAATTTTCTATCCCTCCCTTTTTTTCTCTCATGGAGAATGTGCAAAATGGGCCTAGCCTGGGCCTGGCCATTTCACATGGCAGTGGTTCTAGTAGGTCAGTTCTGGCCAATATCCTCACACAAGTGTAAGGCTGATCGGGTCAGCTCGACTTTTGTCTGCATGGGTGCTGCAGCTGGGCATGGCTGATCTGCACGGCACCCTTTCCAGCGGCTGAACTGCTGCCCCACCCCTGCCTTACCCTGGTTTCAGCAGGGTTAAGGCAAGGGGACGACCCCTGCTGCCTGCCACGATAAAACGACTGCGCACATTGATATCCTCCTCTGGCTGCCCTCGCCTAGAGACCGGAGGCTGGTCCATGTGCCGCGGCCCTTGCCCATTTGACTGGCTAGGGAACTGCAAAGGGGGCATGGGCAGGAGAGGCACGCAGAAGGAGGCGGGCAGGAGAGCAGAGACTCGGATGAGGAGGAATTCACACTGTTCGCAGAGCAAGACCAGCGGGTGAGAAAGTGGTGATCAGAGAACGGTAAACGGGAGAGCAGAGAGAGTCTGCAGCGGCAAGCCATGGAATTTTCAGAACAAGACCTGCGGGCAACTGACGCCACATGGCGGATCAGCCAACCGGAGATGCAGGATGATGGATGCACACAACTCTTATGTCTGCTCTCGTCACATAGAAACAGCGAGACAGCAGTTGTGCCCCCATCTGACAGATGGACAGAAGGATGAATGGAGTGATGGCCATGTATTCATAGACCACCAGCTGTTGCCGGCACGTATTCGGTGTTCTTTGGTGCAGAGCCAGGCACTCAAGTAGCAGCCTGCATAGTGCATATTGTGAGGTGGTCATATGTCCACAAACACTTTCCCCTCATCTCATATACAGACCACTGACACACACAGGTCAACTGTGTGCCAGTTCACATGTTTTTTCAGTTAAACCACGACTGCATGCGGAGTCCGGGACTCCGGGCCTATTTGACAAAGCAAAAGTTGCATTCCCCTGAGCGTAAGATCGACAGTGCCGGCCTGAGGGTCAGAGGGGGGGGAGAGGGGGGGGAGAGGGGGGGAGGAACGAGGAGAAGGAGGGGGGTTCTACTACTCACCACAGCGCCTGCCGCCTCAGCCACCACCACATCGTTGCTCATCTCGATCTCAATTTCGATCATTGATAAGATCTGCACCATTAAAAAAGATAAAGAAAAGAGGGGAAAAAAAAAAGACAAGACAGAGATTGGCAGCGGTTAGGGAAGCCAAATATCAAAAGGAGAAAAAAGAACTGATGAAAAAGGGAAAAAAAAAAAAGAAAAAAAAAAGGAAGGAAGAATGGACCTGTGTCTGTCCTACAGAACATCACAGCTTTTAAAATTGGAACAATAAAGAGAAGAGAAGAATTAATGCAGGCCCATGCGCAAGGATGAGACACATTAATTGAGAAACAGTCCAAAAAGACTCCAAATTGACAAAAAAAAAAAAGAAAAAAAAAAGAAAAAAAAAAGAAAAAAAAAAGAATGGATCTGAGATGGGCTGAATAGCAGACATATGTCGATGGTGATAAAGATAAACAGATCAGGAGATCAAATCCTGAAATCCTGAGATTGAACACGGATCATATTAAGCTATGAAGGTATGAACTGACCTCCCAAGAGAAGGGGTGAGGAAGAAAAAAAAGAAAAACAGAAAAGGGACGAGGTCCATGAGGGAAAAAAAAAAGAAAAGGGATGAGGAAAAAAAAAAAAGAAAAAAAGAAAAGGGATGAGGAAGAAGAGGAAGAAGAAGGAAGGAAGAAGAAGAAGGAAGGAAGAAGAAGAACAGTAGGAAGAAGAGGAAGAAGAGGAAGAAGAGGAAGGAGGAGGAGGCAGAGGAGGAGAAGCGGGAGGAGGAGGAGAAGCAGGAGGAGGGACAGGAGGAGGAAGGACAGGAGGAGGAGGAGGAGGAGGAGAAGGATTTGAAAAATCCCCTGCAAGACAACAATGAAAAATGAAAGAAAAGAGATAAAGAAAAGAAAAAGAAGAAGAAGAAGAAGAAGAAGAAGAAGAAGAAGAAGAAGAAGAAGAAGAAGAAGAAGAAGAAGAAGAAGAAGAAGAAAAGAGGAGGTCCATTGTGAAGAATAGAACTGTGTGTGATGAGTGTTTTGTTTGTTGACAGCTGAGCTGCGGCCCACCTAGTAAGCTTAGGTGCCATCTTGGCCTGCGTCTTCAGCCACCTCAACGCCTCGTGGTCTGAATATACTTTGAAGTGCCTCCCAAGCAAGTAGTGCTTCCAGTGGTCTTACGCTCGCCTGAGAGGGTAGAGTTCCCTCTCGTAGGTAGATGTCGCGACCTTCTCTGAAGGCATCCTAGCAGACATGATGTGGCATACGGATACCACACGGGCCCCAGTTAGGGCCCGGTTCTGTAGTAGGCACGGGTTAGGCCTAGGTACCAGGTCACGACGGTCCCAACCAGGCCCATGTAGGCCTAGGAACTGTCGGTTCAGATTAAAGTCCGGTAGGCCTAGTCTAGACCCCACCAGACCCAACGGCTAGTTGGGTCAGGCCAGGTACCGGTCCATCGCTAGGACCGGCCGGCGGCGCAGTTTAGGCGCCACTTTTCAGATTTCGGAATCGGATCTGAATCGTTGGGGCTGATGAACGGTCCCGACCCGAAGGCACCAGTAGTACTGAGGCCAGCCCAGCACTATATCAGCTGGGTACCAGCCTCAGTAGGCAGGTTAGTCTACAAGATTAGACATCGTTTCGGTTGGCATCACGGAGGAACAGGGAGAATTAGCGCAGCAGAGAGAAGGATGAGAGAAGGATTAGCGCAGCAGCATTTATCGCAGCAGCAGCGAGTAGCGCCGGCCCTCTGACTCAGCCCGCAGCCCAACGCCCAGCATTGCAGCGCCATAGCTGCACCGCCGGGCTCGGCCTCAGAGGACATCAGCCAGGACAGCGCGGCCTTTCAGGTATCAGGGAGAAAGGCTCCGCCTTTCCTCCCTCTTCCTTCTCTCCTTCTCCCCTTTCTCTCTCTCTCTCTCTCTCTCTCTCTCTCTCTCTCTCTCTCTCTCTCTCTCTCTCTCTCTCTCTCTCTCTCTACGAGTTTTTATGACATTGGAGATATCAACATGGGGACTGCAGGTTGAGGACTTCTTTTCGGATCTGACTTCATCTCCCTCTGAAGATCTATCTTGACATTGTGAGATCGATATCTGGGACACTGTGAGACTCTGTATTCACAACATTTCGGATTTTCGTTACTTCTGACATTTCGAGATACTATTTTTGGAAACATTGAGTTGACGTCATCTTCCCTCTCCTCCTCCCTTCGTCTCTCCTCCCCTCCATTCATCTGTGTATGAGAGTTGACCCTGGCCTTTTCTTCCATGTCCAAGGCCAGGGCTTTCACACCATCGATGCATGTTTGCGAGAGATTGATTGCAGTCTGAGTCAGGTTTGAGTCAGTCCGTGTGTATTAAGTCTTCCGCTGTAATTGTACTTACTCTGTATTATCTGGTCAGTTCTGGGAATCTGTGCCATACTTATGACTGTGTTTCACGAGTATGCAACACATGAACTCTACGGGTCTGTACCCATTGCCAACATCTTGCTGTAAGACAGCACCTATACCATACTGACTTGCGTCAGTGGTGACAACAAAAGGCCAGGACGGATCGGCTACCTTGAGGACGGGGTACTCTGTCAAGGCCCGCTTCAGCTTCTTCAGGGCTGACGTACAATCTCTATCCCACTCCCAGATTGCTTCTTTCTTTACCAACCGGCGAAGAGGTGCATCGATGGTAGAGAAGTTCCTTACAAACTTCCTATAGTAATTTGCTAGGCCTAGGAACGACCACAACTCTGTCAATGTGCAGGGCGTTGGCCAATCTCTAATCGCCACTATTTTGTTGTCCTCAGGTTTTATGCCATCTCCATCTAAAACGTGGCCCAAGTACATAACTTGTGTCTTGGCCCACTCGCACTTCTTTGCGTTCATCTTGAAATTAGCTTCTCTCAGCTTTTCGAAGACCTGCCTCAGATGACCCTCATGCTCCTGGAGGGTCTTGCTAAAAACTAGAATATTGTCTAGATATACAACTACGAATCTATCTAGCCACGGCTAAACAAATCATTCATACAGCGCTGGAATGTGGCTGGCGCATTGGTAAGTCCAAAGGGCATCACTATAAACTCATAATGCCCGTATCTAGTCATGAATGCCGTCTTGTACTGATCATCAGGATGTATCAACGTCGATCAACCCCTTAGTCAACACTTCGGTCAACCCCGGTCAACTTCCTGATCAACCCGTCGGTCAACCCTTGTCAACTCCTTGATCAACGCTTCGGTCAACCCTGGTCAACTCCCTGGTCAACACCTTGGTCATCGCTCAACTCGGCTATGGCTGCCAAACTCTTTCTCTCCCATCAACCTTTCCTTCCCTCCTCTCTTCTTCCTTCTTTTTTCTTTCACCCCGGCTATGGCTTCTCTCTCCTCTTCGTCTCTCCCTTCCTCCTTCACTAGGTCTTCTTTCTCCTTCGTTTACTCCGTGTCCGAGCTCGGCGGCTATGGCTGCCACCTCCTTCCTTGGATCGCACAACCAATCTTGTATCGCTCCTCT